AATGAAAATTTTATAATGACCACTCTTTCCTTTTACAATTGGAAATTACCAATACTAGGAAAGTAAAAGAGAAAGAAGGAGAAATATTTGGGATGTATGAAATAAGGGGGAGGGGCTCCTTTTATAGGAAGGAGGAGAGCCCGATTGAAGTTCCACGGATGTGGGACTTGCTTTCTTCACAATCTCCGACTTGAAGATTTTGATGAAATTAATCAAATCTTCATGCTATGTCTTCTTCTCTCACATCCAGTATTGCTTATGCTTCAGATAGGCCATAGAGGGATCGACTCCATATAAACTTATCGGCGTGCTTAGGCTTTGTCATTACATGCTGCTAGGTTCTTCTCGAGTGTGGATCTTACGTAAATCTACACTTCCTTCTTCTACTACTTCTCGAACAAAATGATATCTTATTCCTATGTGTTTTGTCCTCGAATGAAAAGTTGGATTCCTTGCGATGTGTAAGGCACTTTGACTATCACGATACCATGACAATTTGTTGTTGCTTGTGACCAAGTTCCCCCATTATTCTTTTAATCCGAGATAGCTTCTTTACATGCTTGGGTGGCGACCATGTATTCGGCTTCAGTAGTAGACGAGCTACCACATCTTGTAACTTGGATAACCAACTTACTGCCCCTCCATTGATGGTAAACACATAACCGAGTAGTAGACTTCCTTTTATCCGGATCACTGCCAAAATCCGAATCTACATAGCCTCGACAAGCTGCTACGATCCTCCATAACATAATGCAGACATTTGAGGTTCCTTTTATATACCTAAGGACCCTCTTCACATTTTGCCAATGTTCTCCACCAGGATTCCCCATGAATCTACTAACCACTCCCACTTGCTTGTGCAATGTCAGGTCTTGTACAAATCATGGCATACATAAGACTTCCCATTCTGTGATGCATACGGTACTCGAGACATTTCGATCCTCTCAAGCTTCATTTGCTAGGACTCATACTTGAGGATAACTTACGGTTGACGGGAAGTGGGGTAGAAATTGGCTTGCAATCTTGCATGTTGAAGCGCGCAAGATCTTAAGTAAATAATTCTTTTGAGAAAGCCAAATCTTCCTATCTTTTACGTCTCGGTGAATTTGCATCCCTAAAATCTTGTTTCTTTGGTCCCAAGTCCTTCATATCAAACTCCACTAGCCAATTGTGCCTTCAATTCTTGGATTCGAGCTTTGTTAGGGCCTACCACCAACATGTCATCCACATACAACGACAATATGATGAAATCATTTTCTTCAAACCTATTGTGGTAAGTACTGATGAGTCAGAACTTAGTACGTAGTATCAGAGGCTAATAATGAAGGAATCAAATCTCTTATACCAACACCTTGGCGCTGCTTTAGGCAGGTATAGAGATTTGTTCAACACTGCGAACCAAGTTTTCTTGCTCTTTGAAGCCTTACGGTTGGAGCATATATATTTCCTCTTCAAGTTCTCCATGAAGAAAAGCGGTTTTACATCCGATTGCTCAAGATGTAAATCAAATGCGGCACACATCGCCGGGACAATTCGATTGTTGTCGATCTAACAAGCTGGTGAGAATATCTCGTTGAAATCAATGCCTTCTTTACGAGCATATCCTTTTACCACCGAGTCTAGCACGATATCTTTCTACTTGATCATTGGCATCTCTCTTGATCTTATAGACCCATTTGCAACCAATGGCTCTGCGACCTTTTGGAAGTTCCACAAGATGCCATGTCTTGTTTTTATGAAGAGCTTCAATTTCTTCTTCCATAGCGACCATCCATAGAGGAGCTTCGAACCACTCACGGCCTCTTGAAAAGTTGAAGGTTCTCCTTCTTCACTTAGGAGACAATACGCATCATGACTTGCCATCACATATTGTGAATGCCAAGATGGTCGACTCTTTCTCTTGTTGATCGTCGGAGTTCTCCTTCTTCCACCTCATTTGGCTCATGTTCTTCATGCTCCTCCTCGACTCGAGAGGAATGTTCAGAAGTCTTCTTCTCTATCATGTACTATAGTCTTGTCCTTTTCAAATTTGTCATTTATCTGCTTGCTTTGCGGTTCATTTTACGCAAAGACGACATCTCTGCTAACAATAACTTTGTGGGCGGTGGGATCCCATAGCGATACCCCTTCACATTGTCGGCATATCCCAAGAAGATGCATTTCCTGGATTTTGGATCCAACTTCGTCCTTTCTTGGGTGTTGTACATCACGTACGCGGGACAACCAAACACATGTAAGGAAGAATAATCGGTTGATTTTCCACTCCACATTTCCATAGGAGTTTTCAACCCAATTCTTGTTGATGGAGACCGATTTATCAAGTAACGAGCGGTATTCACGGCTTACGCCGAGAAAGACTTTGTTATGCACTGCGGTTTGCGGCATAGCTACGGTTCTCTCTAGAAGAGTTCTATTCATCAGCTCTGCTACACCATTCTGGCGAGGCGTGTGTGGAGCAGAAAATTGTCTCACAATTCCTTCTTGCTTGCGAGAATGCTAGAAAATCTCCATCTACATATTCTCCTCCATTGTACGTCCTCGAACACTTGATTCTCCTTAGGTCTCAAGTTCTACTTGTGCTTTGAAGTCTTTGAACCGCGCAAATACTTGAGACTTCTTCTTGATAGGGTATACCCATAATCTCCTCGAGTAGTCATCGATGAGCGACACTAAAATATTTTGCTCCTCAGAGATAATTAGGTGATTCCCGGACATCGAGAATGGATCAAGTCCAAAGTTTGCTTACTCCTTGTGGTGGTTCTTGCAAACTTCAACTTGTGTTGTTTGCTTGTCACACAATGCTCACGAAGGAGTAAATCGACCTTCTTGAGCCCGGGTATGAGATCACGTTCGCAAGAATCTGCGGACCTCGCTCGACATATGTCCAAGTCTACGGTGCCACGTTATCGCCAGCTTCTTCTTGGCTTGTCGGCGCGGTTGTTGCATGATTTTCTTGCAAGGTGTCTCCCATAAGCACATACAAGTTTGCCATGATTTTCTCTGCTTTCATGACAACTATGTTTCCCCTCACTTGCCTTTAAGATTCCTCCTTCGACATGGATCTTGCAGTAGAGGTCATCCAATTGCCACTATAGACAATATATTTTTCTTCAAGTCCTTCACATATCGTACTTCTTGGATTGTGCGAATAGTACGAGTCATACATTTTTAATTTGGCGGTACCAACTCCAGCAATCTCCAATGCATGGTCATTTCCCATGAACACGGATCCACACGAGATAGGCTTGTAGGTTTGAAACCAATCTCGGTGTGGGGTCATATGCCAAGTTGCACATGAATCCATTATCCACTTGTCATGAAATTCGTTTAGCCATTAGAGGCGATTCTTTGCTTACGCTTACCAGAATTACTCCTTCCTCGCGAAGTACTTCATGATGCAACCTTGTGAGGTT